GGTAACGTATGCAAGTGGGGATGGATGGATCTTAATCACTATTGTCTCTCTCATGTAGTAATGATTTGATGTGTTACCCTGTATTTTCCTGTTTGTTGCTTTAGGTGCACTATTCTGCCTTACTGCATCTCTTCTATATTACACTGTTAGATTATCTGGTTATCACCAGTAAAATACACCTACTCTTTTCACTCTGGTGTCTGAGTTTAATGGGTATCCTTAATCAGCAAAACACTTGCTTATAACATTCTGAAAACAATATACTATGCAGCTTACTGGGGGGGAAAAAAAAAAGTTTGTTATTTGTTTCTAATATAGTCACTTAGCCTTTAAGATTTATTCCTACCTAGGCACTTTTCATCCAAGGTCTACTGAATGTTGGAGGCAAATCACTATCATTTGAGTGAGAGTGATGTGACAAAAGTTAAATGATCTGACTGGAGACACAGATCACCACAGTGCGGAAGCATGGAGATAAGGAGGAGTCAGGATTCCCAGTCCTCTGATACACTCTGCAAGGCAAGTATTCTCATCAACACCCTAGTTCCCATTTCACCTTCCAAATTTCCTTTTCTTGCCTTTTTTTCCCTTCCTAGTTTGAGGCTTTCTTCTTGGCAAAGTTGCTTTCCTGACAGTCCTGGCTGTAGTGTCTCAAAGTGTTATTCCTTCTTAAGTGCAGAACCTCGCTGCATTTTATAAGGTTCCTATTAGCCGATTCCTCAAGCCTGTTCAGATTCCTCTGTATAACAGTTCTGCTCTTAATCATATCAGCTGGTCTCCCAAATTCGGTATTTTCTGCAGGCAAGAGTGCACTCCACCTCCAGATCACTGCTAAAGTCACTAAACAGGCCATAGTATAGAATTCTTCAGTGCCCCACTTGTAACTGGCCTCTATGTAGAATATGAAGAGATTTTTAACCATCTGGTTGTCCACCCATCTACACTGGTAACATCCCAATTTGGATACAAGCATACTATGAAAGACTGTACTGAAAGCCTTGCTAAAGTCACTACCAACCACTACCTTTCTTCCTTTATTCACAAACCTATCATGGAAAGCAGCCAGGCTGGTCAGGCATGATATAGCCTTGGCAAATCCATGCTGACTCTTTCCAGTCCCCCTCTCTCCTTCACATACCCAAAAACGCGTTCCAAGAGACTCGCTCCATGATTTCTTTGAGTCCTCTGGAGCTCAGCAGGTCCTTTTGACAGATGGGTGTGATTTTTGCCTTTCATTGCTGTGGACTTTCTGTGACCTTTCAGAAGTGAGAGTGGAGCCTTGCAAAAGTATCAGGCAGCTTTCTCAGCATCCTCAGATGCAGCCCCTCTGGCTCTATGGATTTGTATGGGTCTAGAACTCCCAACTGATCCCCAACTCACTCTTCATCCACTGCTGGTGTTCTCCTCCCTGAACCCTTCCTGAGTATAGAGATCTGAGAGACCTTACTAGAAAAGACTGAAACAAAGAAGGTACTGAGCACCTCAGCCTTATCTGTGTTGCTCCAACTGTGTTACTAAATCACTCACACCATTCAGCAACAGGACCGCTTTTTCCTTGTTCAGTCTTTTACCATTAACAAAGTCATAAAAGCTCTTCTTGTTGACCTTGATCCCTTGCAAGCATCAACTCCAGGAGAGCTTTGGCTTTCCAAACACCACCTCTAGAGGCCTGGACAGTATTTGTGCATTCTTCCTTTGTAGCCCACACCTGCTTCTACCTCCCTTATACTACACTAGGACTAGGGTGCAGCCATGAGTTCCCTGATCAGGGACTGTCTTGTCTTTACAATCTACCTGTCTTCCTGGACTGTTCTTGCATTTGGAAGATGCTGTTCTTAATGAACTCCCAACAGTAATAAAACTCCTTTATTCTTTAGAGCTGCCTCCCAGGGATTGCACCCCTACCCCTTTTCCACATAACCCCCAAGGTCTGCTCTCACTGCCTTCCTCACTCTTCTCAAGACTTTGAGAAATATTTCCAGTATTACACAGACACAAAAGCTGGTGCTGACACTGCTTATTTCAAGATTCAGTACAGCACACAATTCAGAACTGATCAGTCAGACAAGGGTTAATTATCTCAATTCTTGTTGCTAGAGTAACAGCACTACTTTTCTATTTATTTGTATCATCTGTTCCAGGAAAGACACCAAGGCAGTCTTCTATCTGAAGAAGTTCACAGTACAATGAGCAAACCGTCAAGATTAATTCTGGATGTGTTGGAACTAGTACTAAATTTATTACAGCCCAGCATAAGGGAATTTGGAACTTCTCTCTCCTGCATTTCACCTGTTCACTATGGAGTGAGGGGAATGATTTGAAAATGGCAGGAGCTTCTAAGATGGAACCAAGGAAAAGTGAGGGAACAAAGATAATAGAGGGTTAGACTAATAAAAGTGTTTGACGATTTCTTCATTTTTTCTGAATGACTGCAATAAAAATTAATTGGCAGCTCATTCCAAGGTGAAAATGAGGGATGATAATCCTGCAGAAGACATCAAGAGGGCAGAAGCTAAATAACAAACTTGTTATTCCCCTGCTCTACTACAGCACATTTACTCTGCCAAATTGAAAGACGTTGTTAAAGCCTCTGCAGTCAGATGCATATACCTCTATCAACTAGAAATTAAAAACTCAGTTTCATAAATATACTTGAGTCAACTTTTGGGAAAATTTTGAAATTCTTGTTAGGGGAAAAGATTAGCACTTTTTAATTCAACTAACAGGTCAAAAGCACAGTCCCTCTTGTGTTAATTACGCAGGGTTTTTTAAAAGATACCAGGAACGGAAAAACTACAGCTATTTCACAAGGAAATCCAGACTGGGCTTCCCCGAATACAGGTTTTCATTCACCCAACACAAATTTTTATTCATTTATTTTTTTCATCATATTATTTAATCTGATGTTCAGCACAACACCATCTAACTGGGATAGCTCAAGACCCAGAGTCCCTGAAATAGAAGCCAGTTTTCTATTTGGTTATAACTCAGCACAGACCTCACTCTAGGTAGCTGGCAAAGAACAAAGTCAGTGGTATGAATATCAACTATGCCATTTGATCAAAGATCACAGCACTGCTTCCTCCAGTTTGACATGCACCCAAACAGCAAAATCCAACATCCAATACTTGACAGACCCTCCACCCAGAAAATTCCCACCCAATTACTGCCTTCCATCTTTTAAGATTTTGATGACTGACATACTGCTTACTTTAAAGAAGTAAAAAAGATTAATCTTACTTTAGACACAGCAAAGAGTCTCTGATAACTTGTTATAATGCAGCTCCTGAAGCTGGCACAAGTGTTGAGCCTACAGGCCTCAGGAGTAAAGAGATGACTAGGCATCCCTTCCCACACATCACTGACTGCCCAGCTTGTTTTCTCACACTTGGGAGGTGAGAAGGGAGAGCTGCTCTTTATGTGACAGAAGCTGGAATGCACAGAGCTCCACCTGGGGATGGACAACGAGCCAGTTGGGAGCTCAGGGGTTAGACACAGAGAAAGGGCAGACCAACATGGGTGACATTGTGGCCTGTTGCAGCCAGCCTTAGCAGGAGGCAGTACACAAGGTCTTATCCAGACAACTGGAAGAAGCCTGACGCTCCTGATACAAATGGCTGAAGAGCCAAAGAGGGGAGGCGCTTTCTGCTGGACTTCATGCTTACAAACAAGAAATAACTAGTCAGGGGCGTGAAGGCTGGGGGGTAAACTTAGCTTCAGTAACCATGAGATAGTGGAGTCTGGGATCCTGGGAGGAAGGAAAAGTGCAGGAGGCAGGATCACAACCCTTGACCTCAAAAACGCAGTCTTTGGCCTTGTTCAGAGATCTGCTTGTTAGAATCCAGGTGAGCTTGTTGATTTTTCAAGTATTACTTCCTCCAAGACAAACAGGAAAACAAGCAGATGTTGACCAAAGAGCTCCTGACAAAGTCAGATGTAAAAAGGAAATATACAGGAGGTAGCAGCCGGGACAAACGATCTGGAAGAAATACAAAGATACTGTGTGTGCAGGTATGGGGTTAGGAAAGCCAAATCCCACCCAAAGCTAAATCTGGTGAAGCACACAAAGGGCAACAAGAAGGACTTCTATGGGTGCAATGAATGGGAAGGGGGAGCTGGCCATAAAGGACAAGGAGAAGGTCAAGGGACTGAATGCCTTCTTCACCTTGATCTTTACTAGGAAGATCAGCCTTCCAAAACAAGGTATTACTGTATCTACAGTATATATGTATATATTTAAGAGAACATTTCTGCTAAATCAGAATACAAAGTGCTGATAAGAATATTCTTAACTGGAGCATAGTGGCCAACAGGAACTTATTTGCATACATAATTTCTACCATTTATTGAAAGAAGGTGGACAAGCCAGAAATGCACAATTAACAGACATAATCATAGTTTCTACTACACAGCAGCAGTAGCTTATAGGTTAATAAACTGATGACATAGACTAGATCAGCAAAGTTGTCACCACAGTCCATTACATTTTCATGACCCTCAGACAACTGTTCTAGCCAAAACCTTTAGAGTAGTAATGCACAATTCAACAACTCATCTACTATTCATATAACAAGAACAAAAATATCTACTCACTTTCTAATGTGTATGCAAAACCCAGATGACTGTTACCCACTACTGTCATGGGACTGAGTAAGCTACACTAACAGGAGGACAGAAAGTCACATTTGATAGAATGTTAGGTATCTCCTTTATAACAACACCTCTTTAGACAGTTTAGCTTATACCCCTCTGTGCAAAGAGTATTAAGTTACTGTTACTTTTTACCACGTGAAAAGTACATGTTTAAAACTCCCAGGCTGCATCACTCAAACCCTGCTCAAGAGCCATTCTGCCTTTACTGGGTTTTACTTCTTGAGAATTCTGTCATACAAGTGGGAAGAATTTTGTTCTGATTTTGACCCACAGTTTGTGCCTTACCAGTACTATTCCTTACACTTAAGAAGTGTGCTAAGGTTATAAGTCACCATCTTTCTCTCATCTTTACTTTTCCATTAAAGGAAAGCACAATATAGTAATGCTTCTTAAGCAGAATTTATTTTTCAAGAAATCGAAGTTTCAAACTGCAAAACCAGGGAAGCAGAGCTCCAAAATTAAAGGATTTTCTATAATTTTCCAACAGCTGTTAGGGATCCCCCTCAATATATGCAGAATAATAGATTAAACGGGCTACATCGTTAGTATACTCATTCTCATTTTACAGATCTTAACTGTTTTCACTACAAAACCCACCACAGGTTGTTGGTTATTACAGTAAGACAGTTACTGACCTAGTTAACAGTCCACTGCCTACAGCAAGGTCTTCTACAGCTTATATACTATTTAAGTTACAAGTAATAAGGTATAGACATGGAACCCTAACTCTGCATTTCTCCATTTCTGCTCAGATTCTGTATCTACTTGAAAATATATAATACCTTAAACACAGTAACAAAGGCTCTTAGGTTTGTATACTTACACTGATACTGAATAAGTATATTAACAAAAATTAATTTTCTTCCCAAGAATTGAACCTGAAACTTTTATTGCAGCACTGACCTCTGAAAATAATTCAGAAAGAGTACAGCTCTGTATGTTTTGAAATGTCAATGCAGCAATGGCTGTCAGTTAAGAAACGTAAAACTCAAACAACTACTCCAATGCAGAGAAGCCTTTACCACTACTAAATGGACACCTGTTACATCATCTTCTTTTGGTTGGTTTTGTTTTGTTGGTTTTTTCTTCTTCTATTATCAAAAAGCATGAACTGCCTAATTCCTACAAGGAATGAAATAAGTATCTTCTCACAGTTAGTTGCTATGGAAATAGTATTTCACAAATGGACCTCTGTTGCAACAAAATGCAGGAACAACTCAAAAAAATAAGCTTTAAGTACGAGGCTCAGACAAGAGACAACTTTTTGGGGACTAGTCCAAGGCTTGTACCTCCATAAAATGGAACTTCTAACTTTAGTGATAATCAGTCTCCCAGTTTTTATGTGCCCTCAAATAATTTTGACTGGTATCTACCCAGTCTGACTAAACGTATAAAATTTTATCTGCAGATTAATGTATCAGTTTGAATTTGATATTCCTTTCAAAAAAACCCTGTAACACCTACACTCTGCTTCAGTCTTTAAGTTTGAGGGACATGCATTCTTTTTAAAGGGGAAAAAAAAAAATCTGTTATACTTACTCCTGATGTATACAGCCTGTGCCTCTAAAAGAACATTAATAGGTGGATAAATTTGCCACCACATTTCTTTCAAGACATTCCATAGAAAGTCTGGGTTTTTGCCTTGAATGATGACTCACACTCTTCATGGCTAGAACTGACAAATTACAGCAAACCTTTGAGACTGTTATACCTTTCATTCCCTTAGTGTGGCCCTTCATACCTTCAATGCTCCTCCCCCATCATTTTTTGATGGGAGACTGTTATACACCAAAATTCTATCTTCCACGTGCTGAAGAGAGGAAGGACGTAATTTAGGACGAAATAAAGGACTTGTTTAAAGCTACTAAAGAATTCTTCTATTCCAATGATACTGACTAACAGATCTTGAATTTGCACTCCACCCATTAAGAAATAGAACTAGTATAGCGTGTATTTTTAAAGAGAGGATGCAACTGTCAGGTCCCTTCAAAGTCTTTCTGTAGATAACAAACAAGACTTTTGTCTTCTTTAAATACAGTCAATAGTTTTATCATTCTATCAAGAACTTGAATTGTGAAGGTTGCATGTAAGATGAAAAACAGTCTGAAGAAACGGCTGGTTATCTTAGAGAAACAAGGAAAATTATAATTTACAGCTGTCCTGGATGTAAAAAAAAAAACCCAAACAAAAAAACAACCCAACCCTTTCAAATACTAAAAGACATGGACCGATCAGATGCATTTTTCAGCAATCGAGTAATTCCTCTTCCTCGCATGGTACTTGTTCCGTAAGTGGCAGTCTTCACACCACATGGAGAATCACCTATTAAATTAAATACAGTTTGCAAATCAAATCAGCCTTCACAGCTTGCACAAATTAATGGAATTGTTCTTTGTATGCTGTGGAGCTGAACCTATTCTCTAATATAAAGGGACAGGGGTTGTGCCCTCTATAAACACCAAGACCATAAGATCTCAGAGTTTAATTTAGCGTGTCTTTTATATGCAAGAAAATAAGCTGCACACTCAGATTTTTTAGTTATTTGTCTTGCAAACTTGATTCTGCTCCTCTGGAGATTAGCCATGAACTACCCAAATACACTGAGCTCACGTGCCTTCTCTTAAAAAAATTTGTCTCCAAAAAGAAAACTTCAAATGAGCAGTCTTTATAAACCAAGTTATAACAGAATACTTGTATCAAGTACCGAGTCTGCACATATGACAAGAGCAAGAAGAGTCTTTTAAAGATGGCCCTGCCTCAAAACACCTAAGCATATGAGAATGGACTTCACATAGCAGAAAAAATAAGGGCATATAAATCAAATCAAAACTAAATTCTGAGAGACCTTTTTGACCACAAGATTGCATCCAGTAAGAAAAGGGCAGCTCTTTATGTTTGTGTCTTCAGAAATTCAATAAAATCCATATGCAGGAATAAGCGTTGCTTATGCAGAGCTGTTTAAGCTTTTACGCTACTGATAGGCAACATCTAAGCCCAGAAGTTCTAAAAAGCAGCAACTGGATTAAATTTAAATACCTCTTTACCCTTACAAACGTGAAAGTTTCAAACTCACAGTTAGCAGGGACAGACTCTTGATCCTGACTTGGAGAAGCAAAATGTCTGTCACATCCAGAACCCTGAGCCTTCATTTTCTGTATGAAGACACAAACGTTCAAAATAATATACATCTTCTAAAATGTGATATACACAACTATCCATGAAATCTATGAATTATGGTCAAAAGTGACAAGAAATGTCCCAGGTAGTGGTTATTTTTCTTTTGTTGGTCTGCCCAAGATATGTCACAAAAGACAGCATCCAAAGAGAAAACAGCTAATCTGAAATTGGCAAGTTTGAACACTCAAGTTAACTAGAAATGAAACAGGATGTGGTCTGAAGAATCTGACCTGAAAACGTCCAGCATCCAGTATCACCATCTTGGTATTTCTGCTTTCACCATAATCAGAGTCTTGAAGAGGTAGGTGAGCTGCTGTCAGCGAGACTCCATACACACTAGCTAAAGATCTACTGATGCAGTAACTTGACCAAGAAAAAAAGAAAACAAGAAAGTTTGGCTAAGAGGGCTGTAATGCTCATGTACAGAAGCACAGCATTTTTGTTCTTCAACTGGAAAACAAGAGCAACCAGACTGACATGCACAGAGCAGATGACAGAGGGCAGGAGGACATTATTGCAGCAGCTAAATAGTTACACTGCATCCTTCCAAGACCACCAGCCTATTCTACAACTGTTAAATTAAAACAACTGCTGCCCCACACTATCAAATGCAGTAGAAGTGTGAAAAGCAGCTTTTTTTTTTTTTTTTGCAAGGCATACCAGTACATAACAAAGAGTTTTTTGACTGAAAGACTATTCGTTATTATCTCTCTCAAAGTGCCACTACTACTGACTGGGATCTTAAATGGCATTTCCTTGTTTCCCTTTTCCCACACCAAAAAGATTACAGAACCTTACGTATATACATTATACATAGGGCAGTATAAAAGTTTCCAAAGTAGAGATATACTAGAATATACTGAGAATTTTTCAAATACAGGTATACTAAACCTCTGAAGAAAAACAGTGAATTCTAATGTAATTAACACTTCACTCAACTCTCTTGATAGTGAGTGGAGGTAGTGAAAGGATGACTACAGTGATTGAATGAAATTACATTACATCTTAGTGTTAAGACTTATAGCACACTGCTAAGCCATACAAACAACAATGGAAGTTACAAAGAGAACAAAATCTTGGGGATGGAGGGAATAAATAAAACTCAAGATATACCACTACAGTGTTCCTGGCAGCCAGATAAGTCAGAGCCAAAAACATGCATCTCTAACAAAGTAAACAGTCACCATATTGAAGATAACTCCTTAGCAATACTCACGCAATTTTCTTACAAGATGCCAAAGCACAGCAGAGTATATCATTCTCTTCATGCCACTTGCACCTACATGAAATGAAGTTCAGGCTTATTTCAGAAGCATCTACATTGTTAACCAACATGAATAGTTGGTCTAGTCAGAAGGAATAAGAAGAAATATTATATTTTTGTCTCAGTGACAATATAGTACCTTTAAAATTTCAGAGAACCAGCATTCAAAAACTAAGTTCTAATTGGCTTATGCAGAGTTAAAAGGCACGCTTCAAAGGCAAACTGCTTCATGCTAAGGAAGGGGGAAGGGTGAAAAGAGAATCCCAAGAGACAAACGGAATTTAAAGGTAACAATCTGAAGTTTCCCATCAATGTGAATTACTTTCTCTTAGTATAAGCATCCCCACCTTCCTCTCCAAATACGTGTTTTAAAGTACATTTGTCCATTCTTGTTAAGGTCTCCCTCTAGTGTGAGGATACTCATGGAAATGGAAAACTGTCTGACTATAAAAAGATAAAGTGACACTGATTATCCCAATGGATCTTAAAACACATAAACAGAATAATTTCTTTTTTTTAATCTACTAAAATTTGAGATCACATTATTGGTTCTTACTTAAAACAGTGGCAGACAAAAAGTTACAAGCATATTTCTAAGTTAGCTGCGTCAACATTAAGTATTTCCCCACAACACAAGCTACATACAACATCTTTGTATAAACATGGAAGACTGAAAGCAGGAAAAGCTTTAATGTTCAAGACATTAGGGAAAAAAAGTAAAAAGGAAAAAATCCTACAAAGTAAATTGGATTCCAGATGTGTGATTAAAGACATTCATTCCAGAAGAAAAAAGATAGCATTTACCTTATGCTTGAGAACTTGGCTTATACCACTGGCAAACATACCTTGTCCCTCATCACAGTAGCAGGATGAGGCATTTGATGTATAACAACAGCCAGATCCCATCCAAATTACACTTCCAAGAGTCTGGATCTTCTGACTTCTATGATTTCCAGTTAAGTACTACAATATATTTTACACCCATTTTTTACCCCTTCCTTTAAATTAGGCCTCAGACTCTGCATTAAAAAGCCATCTATCCTTACACATCTTTTGGGAAAGTAATTTTCGTTTCCAGTTGTACTCATGATGTGACAAGAAACATTTCCGATATGAAAGCCTACAGAATATTCAGGCCTGGAAGCACACAAGCTGTATGTAGGGCACCAAGACACACCAGGCTAATACATGCTTCCACAAAGAACTACTCAACATACCTGGTATTACTGGAGAAATCCCACAGGAAGACATCCAGTTCTTTACACACCCAAGTCTTGGATGGCTCCTTTTGGTATTTCTTCCGGTACAGTTCTGTTACCAGGTCTTCTACAGTAAGAAGCTCCAGATGGCTCTCAATGCCTGTAGCTCAGAAAAAAAACAGGTCAGGAAAACAAAAGAATCAATGAATATTCTGCTCAGCTCACTTCTCAGTAGTCCCTGTTCAGTGCCCAGCCTCTCACCAGAGCATCAAAGCTCTTGTAAATCTTAACAAGTTATTCCACCAGTGGTTTTAATAAAACCTGGCTTCCTAGCAAAGTGGGTCATCTTGTATTTCCATAATATTCTCCACCTCAGTAATTATGTATCCTACTTGTGGACCACCTCTCCACAGCAGCTGTTACGTTTTCCCATGTGTTACCATACACTCACCTTCACAGTAATCTCACTGCCTCTAACACTCCTTTAACTGGCTGAGCAAGAAACAGTGTATGTTATGCTACAGATGTGCTCATTAGCCAGTTAGAGCTGATCATGCCACTGGTTTACTGTCAATGACGGGGAGGAAAAGAAGAGGTAGAAGCATGCAAAGTAGTTCTAGCTATCAGTACCAGCTTTTACAAAACCTTTGAGACCCGAAGATTTTCAGACAAATACATGATTACATAACCCTTCCTTCTTGGGGGTGGGGGTAGGCCAAAAATAATCCATTTCCCACCTGTTATGCTAGCCATTCGATTGAGACACCAGTTAATTCGGAATCGGTCATCAGACTAGAGGAAAGAAAATTTCAGTCACATTGAAGAAGTACAGTATATAATTCTGACATCTGCAAGACTTCTGACTACATCTGACAAAGTCATCTCCAAAACAAAATTCAACATTTGTGGGACTGAATGTACACCTTTCTTGAAAGTTCTCTGGAAGAGGAATTAAATGCCACAGAGGCTCTCCAACCAAACCCCAGGAGAAATTCTGGACTAATGTTTGAGGACAGGTTAAATGTTAACCTATACTACAGGTGTCTCTATTAAGTGCTCTGAGATTCTTTTTTTCATGTATATTTCTTCAGAGCCCTGTATTTATGGATAGAGCCCAAGACCTTGACCTTCCCTGCCATTATAACGAGTAACATTAAGCTCAAATGGAATCAAAACATCATCCAGCTGCCAAACACCTCTGAATCCTAACATTTTGTTTTGCTCATTGGCAAATGAAACTTGAGCAAAAATTAAGATGTACAGTATTCTCATGGGGAAAGAGTAATAAAACCAGAAAAACATCCCTTAAAAAAGCAGGACTGTGTGACTATTATTCAGAACAATCAATTTAAGATGAGCTTTAAGTCCTTAACCTAAGTCAAAATGATGTCAGAGACCAAGTGAAATGTTCATCAGTAGACCAAAGTGCAGGCTGAAAATAAGAAGGCAGAAAATTAGGTTTCTGCTTTATAAAAAGGTTAGCTTCTAGGGACCATTTTCTTCCTGCATGGAACCAGGAAACTTTAGGAAAAAGAGTGTCTTTTCCCACTCAGTAGGGTTTAGAGTTAACCATCTCCTTAGTAATCCAACAGAAGTGAAATTAGTGGTTTTGATTTAGAGCATCTTACTTTGACCTTAACCTTGACCATACCCTGCAGTAGAAGTGAGGCCAAACACCTCTGGCTGGCTGGACAAACTCAAGAAGTTCCCGTAAGACAACTGCATAACAAGTACGTGAAAGATGAAATCCAGTTATAGGGATCCTATGAGTGCCATCACCTAATGAAGGGATGGGACAGAGGAAAAAAAAATTTTAAGAAGTCCCATTTCCTTAAATGATACAGTTTCCCCCCCCTTTTTGTATCTTTTTATATACATATATGTATACACACAAACACACACACCTTCTCTCCACATACAGTGTCTATGATTAAGCTATGAAAACCTTGCTCTGTCAGCAGAAGACTGGTGGGTTTGGGCTGTGAGTACACCCACACTCACCCCTTTTAAAAGGCCATTATCTAAGTACTTGACATAGGAAAACACGGGCCAAGTTTGTTCCCTCTGTACAGAAGGGAAGGAAGCATCCTAACAGAAACAAACTGGAATCTATAAATGCTACTTGAAAGTCACAAGGGAAAAAAGGCAGGCCAAGCCAGACATTAACAACAGCATAAATGCTTTAACTTTGTTGATACATGTAAAGCTGCAAAACACAACTTTTAAATACAAACTAGTACTTTTGAGTTACCCTACTATGAATTAGCACTTTGTGCTAAAGATACACAGAAGGACTATCAAGGGAAGGACACTCTGCTCCAATGAGACTGAAAGCATTTAAAGCTATACAGTGTTGTCCCATTTAAGAAGAACATACTGCTGTTATTATTAAATTAAAATACGAAGACAGAATACAAATGACTCTGCCATTGACAAAACCATTTTGGGTGAAGTGTTCTGCCATTTGTGGGTACAAGAAACATATAAAAGGTGACTGCAGCAAGCTGTTCTGTCACTCCTTTCTCTTTGCATCTTGACAAGTTCCCAGAAGGAGGAACTGTAGACTTACAAAACATTTGGATAATGATTAGATAAGCTGAGTCTAAAACTGTATGCCTTTGCATTCTTTTTCTCCATTGATACTCACTAGCAGCCTGGCAGTGGTACCGAAAACCACGTGGTGGTTCTTCTGCAGAAGAGCAGGGGAGACAGGAGAAAAAGATCATCATCCAAAATGCACAATGACAGATCTTAACTCTCAACTACACACCATAGTTTCATGTACAGAAAGGAACAGCTTCATCTTCCCTTGTGGCCTTGTGTAAGTGCCACAATTATTTTTGAAAATGTTATTTTCAGTTATATGCATTTTAAAAAAGAAATTATATTATATAGTGTGTGTGTTTAGGTCCAATCAAGACAAAACATTCATGGCATGAAATATAAAGCACAAACATCTGAAGGTCCTTCCTGGATTTCCTGCCACAGTTCTGACACTTAAGTCCATCTCTTCAGAAACAATCAGCACCACTCCAATATTTTAAGAAGTCCAACCACTTATAGTCCCAGAAATTAGCCTGTCTCAATACCAGAAATATAATCTGGGCAGCAGTAAGTGACACTAGAGAGCCTCCCTCTCACCCCAAAGCAAGATAAACTACTCGTCTCCCTTCCCTGGAACTCACCTGGATCTATGAAGTGATGGAAATCAGCCATTATGCCATTCTGTAGGGAGTACCTGACACACCCAATCTCGCAAGGAAGGAAGCGCTGTTCACAGTAGGACGGCAGCTTGCCATGGCTGTAAATGTTGAGGAAATAAAAGATGTCTGCAATCACAGCTGAAAGGAAAAAAATAAAAGTATTTTCAGAAGAGCCTCCACAGGTTACAGTAAGCCATCCTGGCCTCGCCTCATCCAGTGAAAGCTTCAGTGCACTTATGTGAGTGAGTAAAGTAAGGTAATGACCAAGGAAAACACACAGATCTTTCTCTCTGTATCCGAGATGACAAGGTAACTAATACTTGCAAATTAGGCATATTGGTAGTACAGGTACACCTTCCACAGATGCTACTGTGTGTAGAGATCACCCAAAATACTAGCAATTAAAAAAAAAAAAAAGAAAAAAATATCAAAACCCAAACACAGAAGAATGTTACGATGCCTGGAATCCAACAGAAACTACCATTCCTTTTTATGATGTCTCCTTACCCTTTAGGAAAATAAGGCTAGGAGGAGAAAAAAAAAATCAGTACCTGCAAAGCAGTCTTACAAGCTCAATTCAGTAACCTACACAAGTTAAATGACCTGGTCATAATCTTCTGGGGTAAGAGGAGATGACAAGTCTGCTAATTAAAAGGATTTTCTACCACTAAATGAGCTCCCAAAGAACACCCAAGGCAAAGGTTAAGAAATAAATTTATTGTTTAATAATTTTAAAAGCATCATGAAAAATATTTCACAATACACCTTAATCCTTCTCTTCACTGTCACATAACATTCTCACTGAAGTTTAAGATAGCTATTTAATCCTTACCCTGAAGTTCTGCCCCTCATCAAAATTGCTACTTGCTCTACTATACAACAGAGATGCATAACTGTTGTTACACAGAAACAATGCTGTATGCCAGTCTTTATGGCATTTAACACCAGTTTTCCTAAGCTTGAATGCTGGTGCTCTCCCTGTCACATCCCACTCAGAAGAGGGAGACAAGTGGCTCAGATTAGCAAATCCCCAACAGTGTGGACAACGGTGAGACAAGTCTCAAAGTTCAAACTTTTATTAAGTACCCACAGTGTACTAATTGAACACGCAATAATTGTCTAAGTATATAGCGAGTTGTGGTAAGCAATACAGTATGCCTTGCATTTCTTAATGGTAGTGAAGGAAAAGGGGAAAAAGGGAGATAGAGGGAATAGAGGAACAGAGATCACCGGTCTGGATTTCTGTGTTGCTCCTGCCAGCGAGGGTTCCAGGAGGCAGTCATCTTCTTCACTTCACTGTACTCTCTCCCTGTCTCTTATAC